AATGGGCTATAATTTTTTTTTTCCATTGCCACTTTGTAACTTAGTGGCTGTGCTTGGATAAAGTATCCACTGATAATTCCCAGCTCCAGCACTAGCTATGTGACTACAGACAAATCATTTACCTTTCTGAACCCTTGAGGTTCAGCTTCCTCCTTTTATAGAGATAATACTTGCTTTGGTTTTCTCAGTGATGTGATGTAGTCAAGAAGTACTTTATAAACCTTAAAGCACTATAAAAGTATGAATTATTATCATTAACTGTTGGCTTTACCAATTGAGAGTACAGGGAAGTTTGATTCTTTTGAGGTTTGGTAGTTTTTTACTTTCTACTTCATGTCAGTAACTGTTGAATTTGGAAAGCTCTATTCACTCTCAAAATCTGATTTTCTTTGACATTTTCCTCTTGCTAACACAGAGTAATGATCAGTTTCTGCTAAGACCCCTTTGTTTATATGGCAGAGAACAGAGGAGAAGAAACCTAAGCAATAAGATAGTCTCTTAGATAGTTTATCTTTACCTTGAAATAGGCATTAATTCTGATTTGGAACAAAAGATTCTCTTCTTGGATAAAAACCATGACTTCCAGTCCCCTGACCCCTTCATTCTCTCCCAGGTAATCTCCTCTGCAATAACCACTTTCTCTTCTCCTCATCTTGACACTTTGAGGAACCAGTTCAACTCTACACTGTCCTCTCTTGAAAGTCTACCTGCCTTAGCCTATCACTGATTACACCCAGCCTTAGACCGTTCCCACCATTTGCCACCTTCACTCCTATAAACATGCTGCTAAATGGAGATGGAGAAAATCACAGAACCATTCTGAATGCATTCACTACAAATTTGTTACACAATTTCATCTGGGCCCTCACTGCTGCTAGGCAATCTTAGTATACCTCCCTTATCAACTCACTATCCCAACTCTCCAAAGCGCCTCTTCCAAACCTTTTTATCCCTCCCCAAACCTCTCATGGTTCCCTCTACCCCTGTTCTTTCAGCTGAGAACCTTGCCTCATATTTTACAGAAAAAATTTAGGCCATTTGCTGTAATCTCCCTCTTCTTCCCTCTTCCTCATCTCCTTTCACTCAGATACTCCTACACTTTCTCACATGATGAAGTGGCCTTACTCCTTAGCAAGGTTAACTCCTCTATATGTTCAATCAGTCCCATTTTACCCTGTCTCCTCCAACAGATTGTCCCTTCTGACATTCCCATCATTCTCTTATTTTCAGTCTCTCTGCATTTACTGGTTCATTCCTTTCTGCCTACAAACATGCTGATTTCTCTTCTATCCTGTAAAAAAAATTTCACTTGATCATTCCATCCTTGCTATTATCCTCTATCACTTTTGCCCTTTGTATCTAAATTCATTCAAAAGGCCATCTACAATAGGTACCTTCACTTTCTCTCCTTCAACTATTTCATAGTCAAGTTTCTGACTTTATAATTTCACCAAAACTTCCCTCACAAAAGTTACCAGTGACCCAAAGAGATCATAAAAATGGGAAAAGGACCCACATGTACAAAAATATTTATAGCAGTTCTTTTTGTGGTGGCAAAGAATTGGAAATTGAGAGGATGCCCATCAACTGGGGAATGGCTGAACAAGCTGTGGTATATGAATGTAATGGAATATTATTGTGCTATAAGAAATAATGAGCAGGCGAACTTAAAAAAAAAAACTTGGAAAGACTTACACGAACTAATGCAGAGTGAAATGAGCAGAACCAGGAGAACATTGTACATAGTAACAGTAACATCATAGGATGACTGACTTTAATAGACTTGGCTCTTCACAGCAATGCAAGAATCTTAAGACTATTCCAAAAGACTCACAATGGAAAATGCTATCCATACCCAGGGAGTCTGAATGCAAATGAAAGCATACTATTTGCTCCCCTTTTCCTTTGTTGTTTTGCTTTATTGCTTCATTCTATTGGTTCCTCCCATTATTTCTAATTGTTCTTTACATCACGACTAATGGAAAAATATGCTTAACCTGAATGTATATGTAGAGCCTACCTCAGATTGCATGCCATCTGGGGGGTGGGGGAAAGAAGTGGGAGAAGGGAGAAAATTTTAAACTCAAAATCTTATGGAAGTGAATGTTGAAAACTAAAAATAAATAAATTAACCCCCCTCCAAAATAAAAAGTCACCAGTGATCTCTTAGTTGCCAAATCCAATGACTTTTTCTTTATCCTCATTGTCCTTGACCTCTCTGCAGCCTTTGACACTATTGATCATCCTCTACTCCTTGATACTTTCTTCTCTCCCAGTTTTCAGGACATTACTTTCTCCTGGTTCTCATTCTACCTGTCTTACTGCTTCTTCTCTGTTTCCTTTGCTAGATCCTCTTCAGATCTTACCCTCTAAAAGAAGTTCTCAGGGTTCTCTTCTGGGCCCTCTTTTCTTCTCTATCTATACTATTTTACTTGATGATCTCATCAACTCTCATGGATTTAGTTACTATCTGTACACTGACGATTCTCAAATTTACCTTTCCTCCCCCAATCTCTCTGCTGATCTCCTGTCTTACATCTCCAACTGCCTTTCAGGTGTCTTGACTGGATATCCAGTAGACATCTTAAACTCAGCATGTCCAAAACAGAACTCATTATCTTTCCCCCTAAACCCTCCCTCCTTCCTACCTTCTCTGTTACTATAGAGGGCGACACCATTCTCCCAATTCCTCAGGCTTGTAATCTAGGAGTCATTCTGGACTCCTCACTATCTCTAACCCCTACATTTCCAATTTGTAACCAAAGCCTGTAGATTTCACCTTTGCAACATCTTTTGAATATGCCTATTTCTCTCCTTTGACACTGCCATCACCCTCTTCAGGTTGTCATCACCACATTTCTGTATTATTGCAATAGTCTCTTAGTTGGTCTCTCCTTTCTCCAATACATCCTCCATTTAGCCACTACAGTCATTTACCTAAAGCATAGATCCAACCATGTCACCCCTCCCCCAACCTCACTCAGAAATTTTACTGTCTCTGTTTGGCATTCAAAGCCAGTCCTACCTTTCCCATCTTCTTACACTTTACTCCCCAATATGTACATGTACCAGTGATACTGGCCTCTTAGCTACATCATAAAGGAAATACTCCATCTCTTTACCCTGGGCAATTTCTCTGGCTTTCCCCCTGCCTGGAATGTTCTTCCTCCCCTGCTCCTCCTTCCCTCTGTTAATTCTAGGATCTTCCTTCTGTTAATTAATTCTAGTGCCTTTCTTCTGTTAATTATTGCTTCCTACTTATCCTGAATATGGCTTGTTCTGTATATATTTGCATGTTGTCTCCCTGTTAGACTGTAAGCTCCTTAAGGGCAGAGACAGTCTTTTTGCCTGTTTTTGTATCCCCAACACTTAGCACAGTATCTGACACATAGTAGGTGCTTAATAAAAATGTTTGTTGATTTTTTTTTAAAGATAGACCTTTTTAACTATTAGAGCTATCTAAAAGTAAAATAGGCTTCCTCAAGGAGTTCTGATTTCCCCATCACTAGAAGTTATAGGATCACAGACTTAGAGTTTGAAGAGATTTTAAAGGCTACTGAGTCTCACTCTCTTATTTTACATATGAGGAAACTGAAGCACAGAGAGGTTAAATGACTTGCCCAAGTCACATAACTAGTATCTGAAGCAATATTTGAATTCAGATCTTTCTGACTTAAAATCTATTGCTCTGTTCATCATGCAATCTGGGTGTTCAAGTGGAGGTTAGATAACTTTTTTTTTTTTGAGATGGAATATATGTTTGAGTAGGGATTGGACTAAATGACCTCAAGGGTCTCTTTCAGTTCTAGAATTCTATGAATTCTATGCCATTGGATTTGGGGCAACTAAGAGATCACTGGTGACTTTTCATTTTGGAGGGGGGTTAATTTATTTATTTTTAGTTTTCAACATTCACTTCCATAAGATTTTGAGTTTAAAATTTTCTCCCTTCTCCCACTTCTTTCCCCCACCCCCCAGATGGCATGCAATCTGAGGTAGGCTCTACATATACATTCAGGTTAAGCATATTTTTCCATTAGTCGTGATGTAAAGAACAATTAGAAATAATGGGAGGAACCAATAGAATGAAGCAATAAAGCAAAACAACAAAGGAAAAGGGGAGCAAATAGCATGCTTCCATTTGCATTCAGACTCCCTGGGTATGGATAGCATTTTCCATTGTGAGTCTTTTGGAATAGTCTTAAGATTCTTGCATTGCTGTGAAGAGCCAAGTCTATTAAGGGTGATATGTAGTTCTTTATTTCCTCTGATTATGGTTGATCCACTCAGCCTAAAATAAGTAAAGTAGAGTGAATTTATAGGTATAACTATCTTTTTTTTGTCACTGGTTATATACATCTACTCAATGTTGTTTAACTTTGTATTACAAATTCTTGTGTTCAAATTGTCATCCCTTGGGATTCTTTTCTTCCCCTACTCCCATCCCCAAAATGGAATGCCCTCTGGCAGGCCATCCGGAATGGAGATGTCTAATGTTTCACACCTCAAGATTCAGGAGATGGGCTTCAGTATTTAGTAATTTCTGCCACTGCATGAATTTCCTTCCTGTGAATAAGAAGTAATGTTATTCTTTTCAGTCTCCTAGGAACAATTAATTAGTACTCCTGAATCTTGAAAATGTCAGGGCTCATCCTAATCTGCCTGATTTATTCCTAAAGCATAGCTTCCCAACTGGAAGGGCCTGGTCAGTTACTTGTTTCTTAAGCAAGTTTATGATGTTATATAAAAGAAACAATGTGGTGTAATAGATAAACTTTGGACTTAAACCCAGGAGACAGTGTATTTGAATCCTGGTGCCACTCGTTGGCTATGTGACCTCAATCAAGTCATTTAATTTGAGGAAGCTCAGTTTCCTCAACTGGAAAATGGTACTTACTTGCATAAGATGTGAGGAAAGCATGTTGAGAACTTTAAATTACTCTGTCAATGTAAATTGTGAGTCATTATCATCATTATTTATTGCTGTTTTTCTGCTTCAGGAAACAGCATACTTCATTCAGCAGCAGACAGTGTAACGAGTGCAGTGCAGAAGGCCAGCCAGGCCTTGAACGAGCGTGGGGAAAGGTTAGGTCGAGCAGAGGAAAAGACAGAAGACATGAAGAACAGTGCCCAGCAGTTTGCCGAAACTGCTCACAAGGTAAGATGCCGGGCAAGGAAACTTGGCTTTGGCTTCCTGGTTATTTCCAAGGAGACTCTGAGTCATGAATAAACTGTGTTATAGAAACCCTATTATGCCAAGAGCCTGTCCCTGAGTATTTGTTACATACCATGAATCGTGCAAAACAAAACTTCTTCCATCTTTTATGTAACAAATCAGACATGTATTGTTTAGATTTTATTTGCTTCAGTAAATGCTTAGTTTGGAATAAGGGGAAATAGTTCTTCCTCTATCTCTGGGCTTCTTAAACTTTTTCCACTTGTGACCCCTACTCAGCACTTCTTAAACTGTGGGTCTCAACCCCATATGGGGTCCACACAGGAACATTCTTTTAATCCTCCCTAGAGATTTGGGACTGAAGGTATGTCAAGGGATGGATAACTCGCTACAGATCTGCTCAAAAAGGACTCCCTCCCCTACCCCCCAACCCCTATATTGGCTCACACTTGAAAGAAGCCATGGGTGCTTGTCTCCTTTTTATTTACTGTCTCTTTTCCTTCCTGAGAAGCATTTTGTGGGTTCTCATCTCTGTGCTCTCCTATGCATAAAACAAGCCCTAGAAAAAAAGTGGTCTTGATATTACATCACTCAGGAAGGGGCCCCAGCTATTCCTGGTGCTTTATTGCTGGAACCTAAGCTGTAGCTTGGCTATTACAGGACTGCCTGCCAAGATCTGTTTCTACTTTTGTAAACCAGAATGTGCCAGGATACCTCCATATACTAAGAACAGTCATTTTTAAAATGGAAAGAATGAGTATTCATTTGCAACCAGCTACCTCAGATAAGGTGTTAGGGATAGAAACTAGACCTGAAATTTCATTAAGATAAAGAACTCCCAAATTGGGAAACTCTCTCTACCAATGGAGGCAAAAAAGTTAAATGACAGCGTAGGAAGAAAGGAGTCTGTATTTCAGTAGGTCAAGTAGGTGTGTTGAAGTTCTGATTGAAGAGAAAGACTGATCTGGCTAATGAATAGAACTTGATTTGTCAAGGGCTTTCAGATAAATCAGCAAACATTAATCACCTACTACATGGAAGGTGCTGGAAGAAAAGCCAAGTTTCCCTAAGACATGGAGAATATAGTCTAGAAAGGTCTGTTGTTATGTTGTTGTTCAGTCATTTCAGTTGTGTCCAACTCTTTGTGAGCCCATTTAAGGTTTTCTTGGCAAAGATACTGGCAAGGTTTGCCATTTCCTTCTCTAGCTCATTTTACAGATAAGGAAACTGAGGCAAATAGAGTTAAGTGACTTGGCCAGGGTCATACAGCTAGCAAGTATCTAAGTATACGATTTGAACCCAGGCCTTCCTAACTGCAGGCCCAGTCCTCTATACATTGTGCCACCTGACTGCCCCTGTTGCTCATAACTTTGACTAAAAATACTAGGTTTGAGATCCGGCCTTGAGATCTCACTGAGATCTGAGCACTGAGTGTAGAGTTAATGGGCTGGGATTTCAATCCTAGCTCTGCCCAAGGGGAAGATTTGAGAAATAAGAGAGAAACTGTAAACTACAAATAAAAAGGCTTTTGGGGCCATTCTCCTAAAAGTTCTGTTTAGAATCTTATGCTGGTGAAGCCTTTCTGTAGTTGCTGAAGTTTCTCTGGAGTATTCCAGCCTTCCTTTCCTGCAACATGTTTTCAAAGGCTTATGGTTTGGGAGAAGGGAGAGGAACAAGCATTTATTTAGCATCTTCTGGTACATTGTAAATGTTATGTCCTTTGATCCTCATCTGTGAGGTAGGTACTATACTACTATAATTACTCATTTTACAGTTGAGGAAACTGAGGCACAGAGAAATTAAGTTACTTGCCAGAACCATACCATTAATAAGTGTTGGAGGTCAGATTTGAACTCACATATTTCTGACTTCTAGCCTAGTTCTTTATCCACTGTCCCACCTAACTGCAATATGGCAGATTATCCATCGAATTGCATCCCAGATTGTGCTGGAGCCAGCTCTTACTGGCTATGAGCTGGTTGTTAAATTTTCAGTGATAGCTTATTTACATTTTGGAAATCAGCAAATGCTAGGGGCAGCTAAGTGGCTCAGAGAAATAGAGCATTGGGCCTAGTTTCAGGAAGACCTGAGTTCAAATCCAACTTAAGATACTTAGTAGCTGTGTGACCCTAGGCAAATCACTTTAACCCCCTCTACCTCAGTTTCTCCATCTGTAAAATGGGGATAATACTATCACCTACCTCCCAAGGTTGTTGTAAATCTTAAATGAGCTCACTGTAAAGCATTTAACACAGTGCCTGACACATAGTAAGCATTATATAAATGTTAGCTATTATTCTTATTAAATCAGGGCTTGAGTATTGTTTTGTTGATTGTTTAGACTTAAGAAATTGAAAGGGAAAAAGAAAGGGAAAATGCAAATAATGAAGATTAAAATTAAAAGTGTGTCTCGCATACATTTTCCTCCAAAGAACCATTTGTCAGACATTCACTGGCATATTGCTGGCTGAATCCTTCTGTCCTTATTGCATATTTGGAGGGGAGAGTTGAACAGCAGCCAATCATACTGAAGACATGAGACCTATATTAGTAAGCAGCTTGATAACAGAGATTCTTTGATTCCATTTTATTTGTATCACCAGTGCCCGGCACCAGTTCCTGGTGCTTAATAACTGCTCATTGATTGATTAGTTCAAAGGTACAACCTCATAGGAGAAGATTAGAGCTAAGAGGGCCATTGGACTTGATCTGGTCCAACATCTTGTTTTCTAGATATGAGAACCAACAGCCAGAGAAGTGAAGGTACTTGTCCAAGGTCATACAAGTGGTCAATGGTAAAACTAGAATTTGCACCCATTCACTTGACTGCATCTATCATCCTTTTTCCTGTACCACAATGCTGAAGAGTTGAGACAGTCTAGTCTCCCCAAGCTCTTTTTGCCGTTACTTTCCCTAGGTCTTGGTTGGTGTAGAAACACATCATGAAATTCAAAAATCTAATTTCATAGCTTAGTTTTGCATAATCTCAACTGAAGTGATTTCAAAGGGAAGGAAAACAGGAATGGGAGAAAGTTTAAAGTGTTGGGGGAAGGAAGGAGATTTAGAGGGAGAGAGCTGACTTTCCTTTCTGTGTAGGCTTATTATAAAGGCAGTGACCTACTAGTTTTCTCTTTGTATCAGGAACAAAACAACAGGTTAAGAACTGATAAGACTTGAGTAAGAGACCTTAATAAAACAGACCAAAATATATAGAGACTAAAACTAGCAAGAACTTGATTGTACGCTCCCCAGACTATCTTAATGGAGCCTTTTCTATGCAACCTGCCTATGATTATCTGTGAATCTCTGACTATATAGCCAAGTGCCATAGTATTTTCAACTTGCAAGAGATCTTAGAGATTATTTCAACCCCCACATTTTGCAGATCAGAAAACTGAGATTAAGAGAAGGAATGGTTTGTTGGGATTCTTTTTATGATTCTTAATTAATTAACTAATTAATTCCTGCTATATTTTACCTACTCTGTTACTGCTGATGAGCCTAGTGTGAGATTTTAACAGGCTTTAGGAAAAACTGCTGATAGTTAGAAACTCAATCGGGGGGAATGAATAGGGTATAGTGGTGGAGGTTTTGTCGATTTAAACCTGCCTGCCAAACTCAAAAGACAGGTGACAGACTGAGGTCAGTACTCCCTAAAAACAGAACAGTGCACAGAACATAGTGGAATACCTGTCAGAAGAGAAATTAACATGACTCCAAAGGACCATGAGATCTCTGGTTTGAATTAATGGAGTCATTGGTATTAGTCAAAATTAGTTGCTTTATATTTTCGGCGGGGGGGCTGTTTTGTTCTTTGCAAAATGTAGGGAAGAGGGCATGTGTGTGTGTGTGTGTGTATGTACGTATGTATGTAAAAGCAAGCAGACAAGAGATAGGGAACATTCCAAAGTCAAGATTTTAACTTTTTAAAATTAGTATGTTTGCTTATGAATCATCCCAGCATTGGAAATGTTCTCTAATAAGCTGACTTACCTCCAAGGAGATGGAATGCCTGTCTTCCCAGGGAATGAGACTCCTTAACTCTGAGGTAGAACAGCCAGCGTGGGCTGGCTGGGATGATGTCCTTTCACTAGCCCTGTGACAACAGTTCCCCTGGGACTAGTTCCAGGTGAGGGTTTGGAGGAGATGCCACCCCTGCCTTCCTCCCCCACTCCAGTCTTGCCTGGGTTGACTCATAGTGGGTGGGTTGTATTTACAAATGCCCCCAAACCGCACACTCTAAGCGGAGGACAGAAATTTCATCTGATAGGTACCTAATACTTGAGTTTAATTGGAGCACTGTTCTCTCTCATCCCATCCTCGCCCCCCCCACCACCTCCCCAAACTCTTGTAGGACAGTGATGTTATACAAGTATATTTCAAGGAATATGCTTTAATACCTACAGGGAATTTCTCAGACACCCAGAGCCTTGCAGGCATGTTAATGGATGGATTCTCATACATGATATCCTTATGGTTGTCTCTTGTAGAAGGGGTGGGGAATTAAGTTATCTCTTCCCCCTACCTTTCAGCCCCTCCCCACACCCAGTTTCATAGTCTGATTTGAGGAAACACAGTTCTTTCCTGAACTAAGGGTTTGGCATAACTCCAAGCAGTAGAACCACTCAGGCAGGGATGCTCACTTTTCCTTTGCCCTGAAAATCACCAAGTTGCAAAGTATGCAATGCCTCTGGGAGCCTCTCTTAGTAAGAGTAGTGAGTCAGCAGTTGTGGTGTTAATAGTATTTTAAGAATCCTCCTTGGAGGAGAAAGGATGGTTGGGATCTACTCTATCCAATGTGCCAAGGCATTGCTGGGCAAGGAGGGCAGAGGGTATTTAGTGGAAACATCCTAAACACCTGAGTGCATGTCCACCTTTGCCTGTGGGTAGTTTTAAGGTAGTTCCTAGAACAGTTTAGGTAGTTCCTGGGCAAGTTGCCTCAGCCTCTGTGCTTCAATTTCCTCCTGTCAGATGAGAATTGCATCTTATAATACTTGCATTGCCAACATCATAGGGATGGTTATGAGGAAAGAGCTTTGCAAACTACAAAGCACTAGGTAAATATAAACTGCTGTTAGGGCTGTATGGCTAAGCAAAAAAGGAATCATGGTCCCCATTTCTACCTCTTCTATGGGATATTGTGCCAAAGGCAGCTGCTCTCAAAGACTTATGCTAGTCTGGACCCTGCCTTACATTGTCCCAATAATCCATAGAATGTTAGACATGGAACCCCAAGAATTGCTTCATCTAGCCTCATTCATTTTAGGTACAAGAAAACTGAAGCCCAGGGGGCTTAATGACTTGAACAGGGTCACACAGCTAAAGAGGGACAGAACCACAGCTGAGATATAAGTTCTCCTAATTCCCGGTGCAATGTTCTTTTCCCTATGCAATGTTGTTCTCCATATTCTATTTCTCCCCAGTTTGTTAGTGAGAAGGGCCTAGCAAGAGCTAATTTTCTAAACTTAACATTAAAGAAATCCCAGTTCAGATGTAACATTGACACAATTTGGCTTCCTACAAAAATTCCTGTGGAAATTGGCTTTCTGCTGTGGTTTTAATCATCCAGTTAGCCAAACCCCTGCCTGGCTTGGTGTTTCCCTTAACTTGAAGCTGTGGTTCCTGCTTAGTTTCACACCAGATGCATAAAATTATCACCCGCAGCTAACTGAATTCTTATCCTTAGAATAGAAGGTTTCTAATGATGAGAAGTAAACAGGAAGGATGAGTTATCTCTTCACCATAGAGAAATTCCAGTGTGGAAATTCCCACTAATTCAGATGTCATTAATCAAAAACTTAGCAAATAAACCCTGTAGTTGCTTGAAGCACAGAGAAAGTAAGTAATTTGCTGGGGTCCACATAGCCAGTGAACACCAGAGGCAAGATTTGAACCCAGGTGTTTCAGACTCTAAGCCTAGCATTCTGTCAACTATGCTCCATTGTTCATAATAATAATAATAATAATAGTAACTGACATTTATAGAGAACTTAAAAGTTTTAAAGCACTTTATATACCTTATCTTATGTTGTCCTTACAACAGGCCTAAAAGTAAGTATGAGGTATATTCATCATCTCTATTTTTGGATGAAGAAACCAAAGTTCAGAGAGGTTGTGACTCATCCATGATCACACAACTAATAAGTGTCTGAGGCCAGATTCAATACCAGGTCTTTCTCAACTCCAAGTCCAACAGTCTTTTCTACTCCATCAATCAGCCCTCTGATAGCAATTTCAGGTCACATGAGGAATTCTAAGTCAACTTCTTCTGCTTTCTTGTTCATAGCATTGCATTGACTCATTGGGGAGGGGCATGGCTCTGAGACACAGTTGGATTGAATCTGTATCCTGTGCCCAAATCCAGTTTCCCTAAATGAATAGCCTTGAGGACCAGCTACGTTCGGGAAACTATTGACTAACGGTGGCATTTGGTACTCCCATTTGTAGAGATCTGGTGTTTCAATAGACTGCATTTCTTAAATACCACTGGAAGCAGAAATCAAGATCTGGCTGCCAGCTATTATTCAGCCTTTGTCAATAGCATGGTTTGACTATCAAATGTATTGCACTAGCTTGCATGATCTTATTAAACTGAGAATTAATGGATTAATCAGTGAAAGGTATATAGACTCCTCTTCCTTTCCCCTTTCTTTGTTCATCCTTAGTATTTTATAACAAACCAGTGAAGGTTCAAATTTAAGGCTCTTCAGTTTAACAATCGTTTTTGGTTTTTTTGGGTTTTTTTTTGGTGAGGCAATGGGGTTAAGTAACTTGCCCAAGGTCACACAGTTGGTACGTGTCAAGTGTTTGGTCTGAGGCCGGATTTGAACTCAGGTCCTCCTGACTTCAGGGCCGGTGCTCTATTCACTGCGCCACCTAGCTGCCCCACAACAATCATTTTTTGAGAACCTACAATGTGCTGGACACTGTGCTACCTATTAGGGTTACAAAGACAAAAATGAAACAATCCCTACCCTCAAGGACCTTATATTTTGCTAAAAGAAAACATGTACCCAGATAAGTAAATACAAAATAAATACCAGAAATTTTATCCTGGTGGAGGACTGGGGGTGGAGTGGAGTGGGAAAGCCACCACCAATTAGAAGAATCAAGAATCTTACAGGAGGTGATACCAGAACCAAGCCTTGAATGGAATTAGATATCTCAAAAGCCCAAGGTGAGGAGAGAGAACATTCCAAGAAGGGAATTAGGTTATGGATGGTCAATTATAGACAATATCCAATAGACTGGTTTTGCTAGAGCATAACATGCATTAGGGGGAGTCCCACGTGAAATCAATTTGGAAAGAGTATGGAGCCAGATGGTGAAGAGATTCTCAATTTCCAACACTAGCCTGACAGGACACTTGAGTTCTAATACCGTCTCTCTCATGAATACATCATATTACCTTGAACAAATCATTTAATCTATGCATTAGTTTTGTCTTTGTCTTCCACGTGTGAATTCTATCCCCTTACCCTAACTTCCTTCCCAGGAGTTCCTTAGAAGGCATGATAAGAGATGAGAAAGCCCACTTGGACTTTGTGGATGAAAGGTGCCATTGAAGCACTAGGAAGTATTGTAAGCAGTAAAAATACTAAGTATTAACTTATCCAGAAAGATTGAGTTCAGGAAAATTTCCTGAGAAAGATGTCATTGTAGACAGAGATGTCAAGCATATTACTACCCCTCTCTTTTCCCATTGAAATGACTGAGATTTTCATTCCCCTTTCTTCTCTTTCTCTTTCCCTCTCTCTCCCTACAGCTTGCCATGAAGCATAAGTGCTGAAGTACTTACTGCCTATCCTGATGACCCTCCCAAGAGAAATGGAAAAGATTGGTTCAGCAGTTTTTACAAGAATTCCAAAATTCCACCTGCTTCTTGTTGCCAATTCATTGGAAATTGGTTTGTGTTTTTTTCAGACATTAGTATTGGAGAGGAGGGGAAAGATGTTGTGTTTTTACATTTCTGTAGTGACCTTAAGAAATGCTGCACTATCTTCAATTTGGGGAGGGAGGAATTTTTTTGGGTATTTTTTCCCCAAAATGTCTTAGATGTTTTGTTTTTTAAGTAAGAAAAATGGACCAAATAACTTGAACAGGGTGAAAACTGGCAAAATCTGGATTTTTTCCTGATATGAAACAGGAAGACATTTTAATTTGGCTACATCAAATGTTATTGTTTCTGTATGAAAATAAAATTCAAAGAGTGATTAATTTTTTTCCCCTCATTTTTGTAGCTAGTGTTAGCGGAATCAGAAAGTTAGAATTCTGTATCCTGGGACATTAAAAGTCTCTATTATGGAAAACAACTGGATTTATCAAGGGAAACAGCCGTCTTAGATTTTGCTCTTTGCCTAGCTACCTTTTGCATGAGCCATCACCAGCATTCCAAAAAGCAAAACAGAGTTGCCGATAAGATTCTGCTTTCTGTGTTGCAGGTTCAGTGTTTCTGCTACTTATTTCCAGAATGATCCTTTTTTTTAAATTTACTGTGAAAAATATAAATGTGAAGTTAAAGTCTTAAGAAAAAATTTCATTTATAATTGAGTAGTTTCCCTGTGTACAGGGAAAGTAGTTATGATGACACATGATTCCTTTACCCTCTAGTAGCTGGTGGGGAAGAATGGGTTGAGTAGGGAGGAGAATTTGCCCTGTGGGAACTCCCTTACCAACCCGTCTGTGACTTAGCAGATAAGAAATAAGAAACTGCCTGAAGCAAAGGGATTAAATGACTTGCCTCAATAAAGGTCAGTAGGAAGAGATTTGAAGCTAAATTTCTTCTTTGCTCCCAAGTGCGGCCCTTCATCCATGGCCCCATTACAATCTAGTGGGAGGGGTTAGAACAAACATGAATTAGCACATAAGAGTGATACAGCCAAAGTACCATTTCTGATGTGAGAGAGAGCACTTCTGTTCGAGGGGATGAGAAATGGAAGGCACCAATTTGCCATCTCTTCACCTTCTGAAGAAAACCTTAATATGGTAATTTCTGAAGCATGTGTTATTTACAAGGGTTTTTAGCAGCCTTCTAGGTGAAAGCTTTTAGGTTACAGCAACATTGTTCCTCAAAAGTCAGCTCTCAAACATTTAGTGATGGGCATTTATTATGGTATGGGCCTGATGGTGTCTGTCCCATGCCTAAGGGGCAGCATTTTCCTATTTAGACAGGAACTTGGGCTACATGTGCCACAGAGGACTAAGTCTCCAAGTACTGCAAGAAGTCTTCAAACAAAGGTCAGAGATCACATGTTGGTAATAGTGTAGAGGGAAAAGCTTGATAAAGTATGGTTTTGACTTGATGGTTTCTGAGGTACCTTCGAGTTCTTACATGCTATGATTCTGAGTTGCAATAATTTGAGAGTTAGTGACCATTTGAGAGTTAGTGACCAATAATTTGAGAGTTAGTGCTTTTTTTTTTGTCATTGTCCCTTATATTTTTTTTTGTTTTGCCCTGGACTTGTTGGTTTCATTAATATAAAGAGCTTCCAGCACAAAAACCTCCTCAGGTGATTCAAAGTGCCACCTGTTCCAGTCTTAGACAATTGCCTGGGACATAAGAGGTTAAATGACTAGTCCAGGGTCATGTAGCCAATATGTGTCGCAGGCAGAACTTGAACCCTAGTCTTCCTGGTTTCAAAACTTGGCGTTCTGTCTATCATGCCAGGCTGCCTCTCAAATGTGGTAGTTATTCTAAGAAAGGACCTGAATTTTATCAAGAATCAACTGGTCCTGGGGCAGCTAAGTGGTGCAGTGGATAGAGCATCAGCTCTAGAGTGAGGAGGACCTGAGTTCAAATCCTACCTCAGATGCTTACTAACTGTGTGACCCTGGGCAAGTTACTTAACCCATTTGCCTCAAAAAAGAAATGCTCCAGATAAAAATCTGTACAAATAAGAAGGAAAAAAAAAGTCACATTTATATCCTTTTCTGTCTTTCCATGAAACTGTCTATTTCAGAGAGATTATCATAGTGTCCTAGGGCATTCTTAGTGCCATATCCATATTGATTTTATTTTTACTTTTTTTGCTATTTATTCATGTAGTTTAAATCATAGGGATTTTGACAAACCACTTCTTATAACCATTGCGACCTTCCCTAAGATGGTATCAGGCCATGTAGGCATGATGCCTTTCCATTACAATGGATTTTATTCACACTCCTCCTTAAAGCTTAGACTTTGGAAGTAGTAAAGATGTTTTTTTTCCACCAAAAGTTAAAATGCTAAGTACAGGAATGATGACTGCTCTTCTCCATGAGAATATGCTGCCCAGCATATCCCATGCTTGGTTGCCTTCCTAGGCCTCTCATTGCAATGCATTGATTTCTAAAATGCTTGATTCCTCTAAATCCCATTCCTGCCTCCTTCCCATTGAGCCCAGGGTTAGTATAGTCCAAGGGTGTTTGGTGTAGAATCCAAGTAACCTTTCATGTTGCAGAATAAAAAAACACTGCATTATTAATGTCCATTTAAGCAGCTGACATGTCCTGATAAAGCAGTTCCAGGGACACTATAAATTGTAGTTGTTGGAAAAGAAATCTCTTTGGCAATGCTGGCATGTCAGAAAGGAGGTAGAATGTATTTGAGATGAATTTTTGAGTCCTCTTAGGGAGACAACCCAGTTAAAGACATCTCCCCATAAAAGATAGTTAGTAAGCTATTTTTAACAACATTTTGTATTATTTTCCTTTGGGGACCTGGGAACTTAAAGAACTGAGTAACGTGACATCTAGCAAGCAAAGCTGGAGGCCTTTAAAGTTGCCAGACATAGATGCCATATGTTATAGCAGATAGTTTTGCAAAACCTCATTGTATAGGCTATTAGCAGAATTAATAGGAGTCTTGAAAAATATTTGGCCCCTAGTATTTTATCTTTGACGGTTCAGCTTTGTCAGAAAAGGACACAATAGATCTTTCTGCTTATTAGGTTTTTTTTAATTGTATACTTTCTAGGAAAACAAAACCAATGAGGACAGAAAGAAAGAAAGGGAGGGAGAGAGAGAGACAGACAGACAGACAGACACGAGAGACTCTACCTGTGACAACCTTCCCAATCATTCATTCTGCAAGATTTATTAAGTGCTTACTATGTGTCAGGCACTGTCCTACGTGCTGGAGATAAACAAAATGGCTTTTAGGGTCATTAAATATGGGCCTGGGGAGAGGAGGAATATGCAATTATATACAATATATGTGTGTCCATGTATATATAATTGCAAATTGAATTCTGGCCATCTAATAGCCACTTAGCTAGCACATAAAATTGAAGATAAGAAAAAGTCAAATAGAAAGACACAGATAACTAAACTTTAGGGGAATCTGTTGCTAATAGTTAGACAACAGTACATGTTATTTGGTGAAGCCACCTTAGAAAGACTCAAGATGATGTAGTTATATAACACATTGTGAGATTCTTTCCAGGTAGCATAAAGAGTAATTAGTCTTCTTAAATGAAAGTCTGAAATGCCTTCCCTCCATTCCCCTTAATGCCTGTTAATAGTTTTGAATGGGGACTCCCTATTGAAAGTGGTCTTGTTTAAAAGAAAGCCCAGCCCAACCCTTTTCTAGCTTCTAACACCAATTTGCTTAATGACTTAATGTACCCATGTCTTACGTGTCGCCACTCCTATTAGGATAGCTATACCTTCTCTACTTCCCAGGGCTGTTATGGAGAATCACATGAGAATGTGTGAAATACTTTGAGCTCTTCTAGAGAAGGTGTTTCAGTACAAAGCATTCATGTATTACTCATAACCTAAGACCAAGAGCTTAAAAAGACTTGAATAGTTTGGGACCAATTCAATTCACTGAGAAGATTTTTAACTTGTGTTTGTTTCGTTCCTGCTGCTCTATACGTTTATGGATGTCGTATTTCTGATGAAACTCTTCAACTGTACCAACAACCAAACCATCCTAAAGAGAAACTTCTAGTAGGATAGCTTCTTCCTGGAACTTAGCTGTAGCCTCTTTCACTAGTATTATTAGATATTTGTGTACAGAAAGTATACAGTTATTCAGGTTAATGTTTCATATTAAAGAATGTATTTGTAAAATGTAACAAGATCAGTAGTTAACTTTTTTTAAGCTCTGCAAAGAATAAAAAAGATTATGTTAGAATGTAAAGCTACAGGGAAATCTGTCTTAACACTACTTTTGTGGCTTGTGAAGGTCACGCATTCATGTGAAATTATTAGCAGAGTGTCCTAAACAAGTAATCTTAAAGTTAAGTTTTGCTCTAATTTGCCAAATTGTAACATTGTCAATATCTGTTGTACAGTAACTAATTCCTCAAGAAATTCTCCAAGACATCAAACATAATTTTGTTTTCTTTAGCGACAAGCTCAACTTGATCTGTGGATTCGTCATTGCAAACACCAATTTTGTCATTAAATATTTTAATTCTGTGATGCAAGCTTGTTTCTCTGAGTTATTTGGGTCATGGTCTTTGGTTCATGATGAAACAACCAGCAGTCATAATTACAACTTGGGCAGTAGACCATAGAATACACAGGTTTCCTCAATCAGTTGTGATGAGAAACTTGAAATTATAGGAGAGAAAAGATCCCTACCTGCCATCCTTTAAAAAAAAAAAAAGAAAGAAAGAAACATACTAGTATTTAGTCCCACAAGGCTTATGAATGCCTGATTTTCTCTTAAATGAGATATTTGAGCTGATTCATTGCTCCTGGTCCTACCTTTGCAGGTTGTAATTACACAACCTCTCAAACTTGAAACATCCATGTTAGTGTATGCTGTCATTCGCCAGGTTATGATGCACCATGTTCTATCTGAAAGAAATCACCATCATATTAACTTTATTGGTTTTTAGCAAATGATAGCATGATAGCCAATTGCATCAAGGGTGATAAAATGTATGCAAGAATGCTTGGAAAAACTGTCAAATGCCTTCTGATAGTATGAATCTCTTTCCTATGCTGGATTTCATCCCTTCTCCAAGGAAATCGCTAGCATGACTGACCAGCCACCTACATGTGCAGGAATTCAGTAAAAGAACAAATACTGAAAGCTTTCCTGTGCATGCTGTGTAGAGGTAAAAGTCTATTTTCTCAGACTTTCAGCAAAGAAAGGATGAAAAGACAAGTTGCTAATGAATTGCAAACACATAAGATGAAGATAAGTTTCCCATTTATTGAGCTGTTCTAGTTAGCTAAATCAGAAAACTAGAGCCTAAATCCAATGCAGAATTTTTATCAAATGAGATGATATATAAAGTATTTTTCAAATCTTAATATGCTATATAAATGGTAGGTGTGTTTTTTTTATTTCACTTTCTCATTAGCAATATATAACATAACCAACATAAGACTACACATGTACAGCATCTTATTTGTAGGATTTTTTTAAGCTTCCAGTTTAGCTTCTCTGTGAGGTCAGGGGACATGTATTCGAGTTAGTGATCCTTTTAGGTGGTGCTCACCCGACCAAAACAGAATTATATAATGCAACCAAAAATAAAAAGTCCAGAGTAGAATGCAAAATTTCCCCCTTATTGGTGAATCATCCATTCTCTGCTCTTTATTCCCTTCATTAGCACACATGATTGAGAGTTAAATATGCTTTAGATGTCAGATTGAATAAGCAGTGAAGTTGATAAACTAGGTTCATAAGGCCTTTGAATTCTAATCAGCCATGGGGTTACTGTATGACCTCCTGCAAGCCCATGGACTTTTCCATGCTCTGATTTCCTCTATTTACATAGAAAATTACATCGTCCCAGTTAACTTAGTAATATGATTTCAATGAAACTGTGAGCACATCAGTTCATTGAAATCTGGGAGATCTAGATATATGAGAACGGAAAGGTACCAGACCATAAGATAATTCTCCTTTTTTTTTCCTTTGTAGTTTTGAATACACTGACAGATTTTAATAAGAGTACTATAAAAGAAGTAGTAAAAAAAAAAAGTTATTCCAGAGACTGGCAATTTGTACCACCATTTTAGAAGTGACATGATATAAAATAGTCAATGAACATTTATTAAGCTCCAATTTTTACCAGGCACTGTGCTAAGAAGTGAAGATCCAAAAAAGAATCAAAAGACAGTCCCTGCCCTCAAGAAGCTCACAATCTAATGGGAGATACAACAAGCAAACAAATATGTGTAGACAAGTTATATTCAGGTTAAATAGGACATAATTAAGAGAGGGAAGGTGTTAGAATTAAGAGGGGTTGGGAAAGGCTCCCTATAGAAGATGGGATTTTAGTTGATGTTTAAAGGAAGCTGAGAAATTAGTAAATGTAGATGAAGATAAATAAGATTCCAGTAATGAAGGACAGCCAGAGATAATTTCTGGATCCAAGAGATGGAGTATCTTCTCCATGTAACAGCAAAGGAGACCAGTGTCACTGGATTGAAGAGTATATGGTGAGGGGAAAAATATAAGAGAACTGGAAAGAGAGGAGGGTACATGACCTTGTTTTGAGTGGTGCTAGTGCCTTTGTAGCCAAGTAAGGCTTTGGTATCGCTATCATGTGTCAAGCCCCTTTTCCTGTCTCCTATTTCCCCTCCCAAGGCACCTCTTCTATGTCTTTTTCTTGTTCCCTCAGCTACCAGGTGTTAGCTAATAATATTCTAGTTGATAATTACTGGGGGGAAAATGAATCTTCTGGCATTATTTGCATTTTAAAAGGATACTCTGCCAGATCCTCTTCCCCTTGCCTTCTCTCCAGCCATCCTTTCTGCCAAATTCTCAGGAGAGACCCTCTATGGGTCCCTAACTTGCATTTGCCTGCAGGTTCAGTGAGGCCGAGTTATACTACAGGACTTTCTACAGGCTGAGAGTAGAGCCATATATCACAGGATTTAGAACTGGAAGGGACTTTAGACTCCAACCCCATCCTTTATACAGATAAGGAAAATGATGCCCAGAGAAGTGATGTTAAATCCTAAAGTCTTATGGAACCTTAGATATTACATTCCAATTTGTAGCTGAAAAGGAACACCCACCATGGCATCACTAATAAATGGGCATCCAGTAGTGCTGAAGAATTCATTGAATGAATGAAAGCATTAACTGCTTACTCAGTGCAATGCACTGTACTGAACTCTGCAGATACAAGAAGAAAATCAAGCTCTTTTTTCCTCCCTGCTCTCATTTTAACTCAAGGAAGCCCATTCTGTTTAGATTGAGTCAATATCAGTTTATCTGCAGCTTTATAGCTCATGTTGACTTAGTGCTCTAAGGTTTACAAAGGTGCTTTCTTCGCAAATATTATTCCCATTTTACAGGTGAGGAAACTAAGGCTAAGGAAGATTGTATAACTTGCCCATGAATGCACAAACAGCATGCTGAATAGTAGAATCTGGATTCTGTTGTCCTGGATCACGCAATGAATTAGAAACAAAACTGGGACTAGAATCCTGATCTCCTGACTCCCTCAGTTAAGTTGCCCTGTCCACCATACTGTCTGCCATGACTTCAAATCCTTTGTTCCCTGCCTTAGCCAGTGTCAGTACAGTATTTGTAGCTCCTCTGGTTCCTCCCCACATTCTCCTTCTAGGGTCAATAGGAGGATATGTTATCTTTCACAAAGGCAAAGAACAAGTAATACTCTGGTGCCTTGGACGAAAGGGCAGATGGCTTTTCCAGATGTTCATAAGATTTAAACCAGCAAATTAAAGCTGTCATGGAAATTAAATATAATGTCCATTTAAGTTCCATTATAATGACAGTATAAACCTTCTGCCTTGACCCCCATTATGTTTTCTCTCTTAGGTGTCATCATGAGCCACAGAATTTCCTGAGTAGCATTTTTACTCTGTTCCCCCTCCTTCTCCTTAGCTAATGTGACACCAGCATTTTCTTGTTGCTCCTGAGTCTGAGTCTAAGAACTCACAAGCCTGAAAGAAAAACTGGGAGTCAATCCCAAACTCTGGGAGTGTACTGAAGACTTCCTCACTGGTTTCCTTGACTCATATGGTAACAAAATAGCTGATTTCAGTGATTACCAATTCAATCCCATCAGGGAAGAATCCTTTTTAAGTAAGCAGAACCAGAAAACCTTTTACAGTCCCATCTAAAGAAGAATAACTTTGAAAGACTTGTCTGATTAATGCAATATCCAACATTTCCAGAAGATAGGTGATGAAGCATTCAACCACCTTCTCAACAGAGAGATGATGGACTCAAAATACAGAAGAAGACATACATTTTTGTCCATAGCCAATGCGGGAATCTGTTTTTGCTTAATTATACATATTTGTTACAAATATTTTGTTTTTATTTTGAGTTTTTTTTTTTTAATCAGTGGGACAGTGGAAGGGCATAGGGGCATAGAGAAAGGTAGCAAAAAAAAGAAATGGGTCATTGAGGCATTTTTTTGACATTTAAAAAAGAAAACAGAAGGAAGTTGAGAAAAAAATCACAAATAGAACAGTTTTGAAAGCTATAGGCTGAATTTATTAAATATTTTTAAAGAAACTGTATAGAAGAAAGATCTGCAGTTTCATGCACAATCCTCTTTTTCAGGAGTATATAAATAAATAAAAATGCCCATTTAATTTAGTGTTTGCTAAATTCAGAATTTTTTTTTAAATAGCCCCTTTAAGATGAAGATTTGTTATGGCATATGCCTTTTCCCTTTCTTTGTGTAAAACTTCACTAAGAACCTATTTAAATCAGAACTAAATCCCATCAAACATCCTAGGTAAACTACTTGGCACATCCCATTAACTACCAACACATTAGATGAAGAATTGTTTACATCTTCAATGTTCCTTGCCAGTCTAAATTCTGGGGAGTCAATCACCAGTGTCATTCATTGCCTCCATTCCATAATATTATATCATAATGGCTTTGTCATTCTAAGATGGATTTTCAGATGGCACAGGATGAGGGAAAAGATGAGCCCATAAATTCTCTAAGACTTGGCATATCTGATACACGATTTAGGTTGTTCACAATTAACAAAGTAATTCTGATTCTGTCCTCTACTTGTATCCACTACATGATTTATTTAATTGTAACAAAGTAGAATTTCACATTCCCTCCTGACAGCATTGAAACCTGTGATTTCCTAAGTCATTTTTCCTTGAAACTGAGCTCTCTTGTTCCAGTGAAAGTACTGGACTACCCAGGACCTTTTTATTTGTCATTACATTACTAGGATATGATTTCACTGGTGGGTACTCCTCCCACCAACCTAGTTCACAATTCCTATATACGTTCCTCTGTAGTCCTTTATCATTCTATCTCCCTCTAATCTTTACTACCCTAAAACTATTCATCCTCATCATGGCCTTCAGTCCCTCCATACATCATTACTCATTACTCCATACCTCATACTCATTACATTCTTCCTTGCACTTGCTACGATCTCCCCCCTCTCCACTCCTGGACCATTCAATTCCACACTATCTTCCACTCTCAAATCCCTTCTTTGTCC